CTTGTTCTACCCTCAGGTACTTTGGCTAATAGCTTGACTCACTCTTCTTTGTGGCAACCCCTGAGATATTGGAACACTGCTATCATTTCTCCCCTAGTCCTTCTTTTCATTAAATTAGATATACCCAGTTCCTGCAATATTTCTTCATATATAGCTGATAAGTTAGTAATACAGTTGCTAAGTGAATCTGTTTTTCTCACTGACTTTATTTGTCAGAAGGTTGCAAAAGGTGATCACATGGGGTACTACAACTGTTATAAATATGAGTCAATTACCAAGTGTCTGAATTTTGATCACGTGACTATGAGGATTCTACAATGGTTGTAAGTGTAAAAAATGGTCATAAATCAGTGCCGTTGTAACTTCGAATGGTCACTAAATGAATTGTTGTAAGTCAAACACTATCTGTACCTGAAAATTATAGGCTTGTTTACTAAATTTGAGAGTAAAACAGAATCTAGTATAAACAAATATTAAAAGTTCAGAGCCATGGCAATGACAACTGTTAAAGCCACTTAGCTTATGATAAACATGTATTATCAGAAAGGTTCTAAAAGAAATATCGATATCTTTGAATTGTAGTGCTGGAGAAGATTGCTGAGAATACCTTGGGCTAGAAGAACAGACAACTCATTGACAGATGAAGTACAAACAAAATGTTCACTTAAAGCACATCTTTAGAAGTATTTGGATATATAATGAGATGGCAAAAATCAAAATCCTGAGGCTTGGACAGAAAACCAATGATATCTTTTGTTTATATAAAAAACAAAAGCATAAAATAATATTTTTTTGTTATGGACCGCCGTGAATTTCACAATTCAGTTAAGTGAGGTCAATATTGTTCTGTCTAGCTCAAACTCAGCCTTCTTAAGAACATAGATAATAAGCAGCATCTAGGTGGATGGGATTCATCCATCCCCTAACTCAGGGCTGTCAAACTCCCGGCCCGTGGGTCGGATGCATCACATGCCAGCCATGGCCACACCCAGTTTAGTGAAGGGAGGAAGAGTCCCAATACGTCATGTGACGCCGTCGTGACATGAGTGTGACACCCCTGCCCTGACTAGTCTAGCAGTCTCTTCTCACAACGGCCAACTAAGTGCACAAAGAAACCCCTTAGTCTCTCAGAAGTTGGCCTCCAGAGATAGACACTTTTACATTAAGACTAATAGCCACTGATTCCCATGGCTTCCATGAACTAGTCTTTTTGTTTGTTGATTCAGCCAAGATGATAGCCAGCACCAATCACGATAGCAAATTTCACGTTTAATTATACGTTGTGTAAAAATACAATCCTTTTATTGATCCTGATCATTCCAGGATTTAATTTCACACAACCTTTCTTAATAGGGAAACTGCTCCAGCTTCTTGATCATCTTAGATGTCATCCCCCAAATCTATAATTCTCCTACATCCCTTTTAAGATGTGCTGACCATAACTGCACACAATCTTTCAAATACAATTACATCACTGGTTGGCATCTATATTTTCAATACTATTTTTATTATCCTTAATAATTATCCCTACTCTACTTAGGTGAAGAAGACTGAGGCAGAACATTTTCAGGCAGCTGAAAGGGAGTTTGGGACATGAAGACTTGTTGCACAATTTAATTGTCTTTAAATTGATGCTGTAGAGTCTTTTCCTTATTTATTTAATTTATATGTTGCTTATATCACAATTGTGGATGGTTCATATAAGCTCCTTGCAAAATCCTTTCTTGTAGAAGAACCATTCATTCATACAGGCAAATTGTTTGTTTTTAGCAAGTAGTCAATGAGTAAATTAGCCATGTTAATCTAATTTGCATATAGTTTCATTATGTTTAAGGAGCTTCTTCCATTCAGATATCTTTATATTTGTTATACAGATAAATATGTCCATTTCTTATGTGTTTGTTGTTATTATTCAGATAAAATTGGGCTCAAATGCAAATTTTCTGCATGTTAAGTAAAGACAGAAAAGTATTGCCAGAATGGCATCAGTAGCTGCATTGGTCCAGGACAGAAAGACCAAATGTTCTTGATGATACGTGGTAATTTATAAAACACCCTTGTTTTCAGATTAGCAGCCTTACCAAATGCTCACTTTCCCTTTAGGTGTCTGTGCCAACACCTGACCTAAAAGTTCTGCTTTCGAGAATAGAATAGAATAGAACAACAGAGTTGGAAGGGACCTTAGAGATCTTCTTCTAGTCCAACCCCCTGCCTAGGCAGGAAACCCTACACCACTTCAGACAAATAGTTATCCAACAGTGCATGACAGAATGAAGAATACCGCTTACTCCCATGGTAATTTCCGCATGGTTTGCCCCCCTTCCATTTCAGTAATTCTCTATTGCATAAAACAATATGCAGCCATGCATTAACAAGTCAAGCGGGCTGTGCCAAAAGCGACTATCGCACAGGCACGTCAGAAGGAAAAGAAAGCGTAAAACTTGAAAGTTAGATCTCCTCCTTTTCCCGTTTCTCGACATTTTCGGGCTGCAAGCACGGGTTGTGGTGGGGAAGGAAGAGGTCGTAGATCCCAGGCTTTCCTTTCGGCCGCTCGGAGCAGCCGCGAACGCGCTCTGCTTCCGCGCGCATCCGAATACGCGCCCCCGGGTACGCGCACCCGCTTGAGGCAACTTTGAACTTACCCCCTCGCGGTTCTTTGGCTGCGGCCCTTCGTCTGTCTTCAGCCTGCGACTTATCTGAGAAAGAAGCGGAAGCAAGGAGCCTCTCCTGGGCCCTCTCTTATAAGGGAATGGGGCGGCTTCACCGAAGCCCAGGCCTTAGAGGAGGAGCGTTCAGGTGTAGATTTGCCTAGGCGTATATTGTAGCAGCCAACACGGAGTCCATCTCCCCCTTTTATTATCCGTGGGCAGGGGCTTTTTGGTTTGCATCACTGTGGGCTTCCTGAGCCCACCAGGTCCTTGGAACAGAGGAGAGAAGTCTCCCTTATTTTGAGTTGCCTTTAAAATGCCAAATAGGTTTTCAATGACTTTGAAGTGTGCATCCCCCATAGATACGCCTTCACCCCACTTTTGGCAGGCTGCTGGCTTGTTGACAGGAACAAACTTCATACTCCTTGTAGTAGTAGAATCCTCTTAGCTACAGCCCGGTGGTCTGCTGCAAAGTGAGGGCTATTGAAAGAGAAGGGGGAAATGCAATATAAACAATGTTACAAGTTTTTTAAAAAACCTTTCTAAATGCATGCAGTGGGGAAACTTGGTGTGTTTATCTTGGGGGTTGACTTGAAGTGCACTTCATCTGTCTTGGAATCTGCAGAAAATTAGAGCGAGAAGTTTGTTTGCTGCTTGCTGAACCCTATCCTGCCTTGGGTGCCTCTGCTCAGCTACTTGAGTGGCTTGATTTCCCTCTGTCTATGGCAGTGGTTCTCAACCTGTGGGCTGGGACCTCTTTGGGGGTCGAACAACCCTTTCACAGGGGTCGCCTAAGGCCATCGGAAAACACATATTTTTGAAAAAATACAGAAAACATAAAATAATTTTATGGTTGGGGGTCACCACAACATGAGGAACTGTATTAAAGGGTCGCGGCATTAGGAAGGTTGAGAACCAATGGTCTATAGCAATATTTCTCAACCTTGGCAACTTTTAAGCTGTATGGACTTCAACAAGTCCCCATCAGCATGGGAGTTGAAGTCGACACATCTTAAAGTTGACAAAGTTGACAAACACTGCTATATGATAATGGGTGCCCAAAGCTTTTGTACACTCAGGGTTGCCTTTCAGCAAAGTCAGGTTAAGGGAGGGGAAAATACCTTCATGCTGAGATGCTATGGGAAATGTGCTGAAGGCTTTGCGCTTATGAACTGAGGTGGGAGAAAGGATGGGGGATATGGCAGAAAAGAATTGTTGCCAGGGCATGTTTTGGCCATTGTTAAGTGCAAGTCTGAACTTTCATATGGATTACTTTATCCAATAAACATTATTCTTGAAAGATGCTTCTGTTTGCTGCCAGGGCAAAAGACCTTTCTATGTGGCGTTTAAGCAGAGGAAAGTAACAAAATGCTTTTCTCACGGTTTATTGCCTATGGAGTGTTAACAGTGCTTTCATTCAGTAGTATTATCTTTCTCAGATTTTTTTTTCCTTCTTCCTGACTTATGAATTTGTCAGGATACATGTAGTACTCAACTTTTGAGCATAATTAAGCCTGGAGTTACGGTCACAAGTCATGCTTGTTGTTAAATGGTTCACCATATGATTGTGCCCTGTTTAATGACCTTTTGGTAGTAATCCTTAAATGAATGCTTTGTCCGCAAAGGCCATTTTTGCTGGAAACTGGAAGTAAATGGCACATGACTCTGGGACACTGGAAAAGAATGAAATTGCCAGCTAGTTGCCAAGATTCCGCAAACACAATCACAGTGACCATGGAGGGGGCCTGGCCATCGCAACTTCAAATCTGGCCCTGGGGAGGGTCCATCTTGACTTTGAGCAATTGCTAAATGACTCGCCCTAAATCAAGGACTACCTGTACATAAATTTCCAATTAGTATTTTAGAATTACAAATGCTTTTCAATTACAGTGCAGTGAAGAACTGTAATGTTCTTCTGTTTTAGCAGTAGACATTAATTGTGCAATTTCATTGTGCAACTGAGTGCTTCTTTCTACAAGAGAATCAGTATTGCACAAATAGTATATTGGTTGCTAGGACACCTGGGAAATTTAGATTTTCTATATTCTAGGAAATTACTTTTTGCAGGATCCACGGCACCTGGGACACTGCCTTTAAGCATGCAAGGCATGAGGGATGCTTCTCTGTGGCTGCTGTTTCTCCTTATTATCAATAGGAAAACAAATGTTGGAGAGTAAAGATTTACAGCAAAGTTGGAGGAGCAACCATACTTGACATTTGGAATTCAAAGATGGGTGAACAGTCCAACTATCATGAGTTCCTTATTTTTGTTCCAAAAAATAATTTATTCTGTTTCTCTGCATTCCAAATAAAGATGTCCTACATTTCCTGTTAGGCCTTCAGGCATTACCTAAACTAAAAATATTTTTTGGGATGTTAACTTTTGCCCCCAAGCATGAACTCAGCATTCTTTTCAACAAGATTTATGAAAAGAGTAGTTTTTCAAGAATTTCAGTGGGTGAAATAATTTTCACTCAGCACAGGGTGCATTAGTTGGAAAGTTTGTGAATCTTTTTCTCACAGTTTCCTACTACACGAGAGGGAAAGCAGCTCTCTCCACTGTTAATTGAGAAGTCTGCAGCTGGTTGTTTATATAATGACCAATTAAATCTTGAACAGTCTGAGAACCAACTCTTACATTTCTTCAGCACTAATTTATCTGCCTAATTTAATACTGAGAAAAGTGTAATCGGCTTTTATCTTCAGACAACTTTGTTTCCCCCATATTTTATGTTTGAGAAGGAGGGGAGATAGGTGGGGAAATGCCACTTTTTCCTTCAGTGTGTTGAAAGTAATGGTGTGCAAAAATTCACATTGCATTTTTTTAGAAATGTTTTTTCCCCTGCAAATAAAAAAAAAGGCCTCGGTTTTTCTGATTTATTATTTTGGTTGTATTTCTGCACTATTGTTGGCCGTGGTAGAAGATCCTACATCTGGCACAGTGATGGGTTTCAACTTTTTTTAGAACCTCTTCTGTAGGTGTGGCCTGCCGGCCATGTGACCGAGTGGGAGTGGCTTGGCAGTCATGTGACTGGGTGGGCATGGCCAACTTGTAAAATGTGCTGAAACTCACTTAACAACGCTCTTGCTTAGCAACCAAAATGTTGGCTCAGGAACTCTGGCATTTGAAGCCCGCAAGTCTTAAAGCTGTTAGGTTACAAGACCCTTGCATCCCTAACCCTTTAGAAAAAAACCCCAGGGGTGTTCAAACTTGACAGCTTTAAGACTTTAAGGTTTAGATAGGACTCTTAGAGGCAGGCAGGGCGATTGGTGAGCCAGCCAATCAATGAGCGGCGAGCAGGGCAAGCGTGCTGCGGACAGGCGGTGGGAGAGAGCTGGAACCGGTTCTAAACAGCATGGTAGATTTGTGAAACCTCTTCTATAGAAGAGGTTAGAACTGGCAGGAACCCACCCCCGGTCTGGCACTATGATATATTTTCTTTTCCACAACGTTCCATCATTCTGAAGCCTTCTTGGTTGCCCACACTTCCAAATCTGAATAAAATAGTGAATTTGAAAAAAATCTGTGAAATGGCTGAAACTCACTAGAGAGACAACTGTACAAAGAAAAAAAGTGTATTATTGAGATGCACATTCCTTAGTCCATCTTGTTGAAGTATGCCATATTTTATCCATGGAAATTCTTCTGAAATTGCATTCTCCTGTGACAAAAAATATTGGGAAGAAATTCTTATCATGTTGAAAAAGAATTGATAGAGAAAAGGCAGAAAGTTGGGTGTTGTTTTGAGGGTTTTCTTTTGGAAGGCATTAATTAGTTCTTAACATTTTATGATGCTGAATTATGTTATGAGCTGAATCTCTCTTGGAGGGAACTGAATTCTGGGAATACTATGGTACACATGTTTGCAGTGTTGTATTAAGCTTAAGGGATTTGGCATTTAAGAGTAGAAATAATTAACCAAATTTTTATATCTCCAGGGTAATGAATTGCTGGTCAATCATTCACCATCTTTAGATTAGAGAAGAAAGGAGAAGGGAAGGATAAGAATGTGGGAATTCTTATGAAACTCTCACATTTGAGGTCTGCAATTATGCTTAAGCAGGAAAGCAGCATATGACTGGGGAGGTGTCTTCCCCACTCCAGCTATCAATAGTGCTTTTCCTTTTATAAGAAAATCTCTCCCTTTACCCCTCCCTCCTAACTTGGTATCTTTGTCATATCCTCTATTCGTTCTTACAGAGGAAATAAGATATTTTCTTTCTAGTGGTGAAAAGTTCTTAAATTTATTTTTTTTTCTTCTTGAACTTTCCAGCAAAAACTTATTTAAGTTCAGACTGATACTGAATTTAACCTGAAATTTTGAATGCTGCTATTGCCAGAACTATTGCACCATCTTATTACAAGGTCTTTCAGTGGCATTTAATGCAAACACCGATTTTTGCACTGCTACTGATAAGAGTACTTTTATATCTCCCAAGCAAGACTAAATCCTTCTGATTTGTTGATACAATTTTAGTTTCAGTTAACTAAATGGAAAGCAATAATAATGTTTCAAGAGCTGCTGACTTTGTGCATCTGTTTCTAGAGTTCTGTTTTTCCTACTAAATAAAAAAATACTGTAAGAAGATATCTTTGTCAGCTCTTAGAGCTGCTATCCTGCCAGGATTTGAAACAATTCAGCCATTTCACATCTCACCAGTCTTTTTTTCCTCTCTTTTCCCAACACAATCGTTAAGAGGTTAGAGGAAGCAATTACATTTCCTTCTTTCTCTCAATAACCCTCTTACAGATTGCTGGTTTACCATGATGGCTAACAGTAAAGGCAAAGGCAAAGTTTATTTTGTGTTTGATCATCTGCAAGCTACAAAAGTGGTTTGGCCGCTGAGTTGGCTTTGCAAGCTGCAAACAAATATTGGGATTAGGACAGTATGTTACCTACTCCTGCATCAAACCTGTAATAACACTAGATAGAAGAGATTATGGTGCATAGTTCAATGAAAATTTAATGTGTGTGCATCTGCAATGAAAAAGGCAGATTTGAGGATTAATTAAAGAAATTTAAAGTAAAATAGGCTATCACAAAGCCTTTATATATTAAATTATAAAACAAATATG